CTCACGCTTTACAGTGAACCACACTGAGTTTATGAGAGTTTTCTGAAGGAACTGGTGAAATCTGTTTAGGAGAGACGCTGGTTATTTATATCTTAGAACTACTTCATCTTCAAAACAGATTAGGATCTGCTTAACTGCAGTACCACCAAAAAAAAAAAATCTCATCATCTCCTCAAACAGTTTACTTTGCTAGGAGATAAAAGAAGTGAGTGTGAGAATGAATTGGGTTGCTACTAGGATTATATGTGGGTACTAACTGGATCATGAAGTTACACAGCCTTGCAAAACAGCAGTTCAAAACTCTTAATTACCTAAAATAAACATGATTTCTTCACTTGCAACCTATTCATTAGCTAATTTTTAGAAGTAGCACAACAAAAATGTTTTGGCTTTTTAAAAGGATTTAAAATAGGTTTGGACAACAGACCAAACATAATAAGTGTGTCTCTAGTGATCAGTAAGGAGCTTGTGCTAAGTTCTGTTACTGTGAACAACAATTTTGGGGACGATTTCAATGAACTCAGAGTTGGGCACTAGGTGATCTGATGATCTAAGCTCTTAGTTTCCTCTTAGCTATAGGCAACGTGCTTCTTTTTTTTTTAGTTTTTCTTATCTATAAGCTTTGTAAAAACTGATCTTTAGCTTATGTGATTTAATGGCTTTGTTCAGAGTGCTATCTAAACAAAGGTAACAAAATCTTAAATAAGCATAACAGCCCTTTTTACATAGGAAAAAAAGTGTGATTGTGACTTCAAAAGCAAGTGTGTAGAAATAGTACCTTCTTGAAATTCTTGCCCAATAGATCTATTCTTCCACCCTTGAGGACATATCTGTTTACTAGCTAAACAAGTTTTACTCTGTTACGGAGACACATTGACAACGGTAGTCAGCTGAATTCCTTTGTATGACACAAATCCTCAACAAAATCATCAGCAGAAGATTTATTGCTGGTTGTAAGTGACTAAGTAACAAAAATAGTACTCAGAAAGTCCAATCCTTCTCTCAGTGTTTGCAAAAACCACTTTTTTAATGTGCCCTAGAGGAAAAATGACACCACCATCTGTGGTCTTTTTAACAGTTCTACCTTCTCTGCCTTCAGTGGTGTAAATCTCTCAGGGTATCACCTATTCCTGCAATGACTATCTAAGGCAGAACTCTTCCTACTCTCTCTGTGTATGCTAGTTTTGAAGTTTGAATTGTCAAATGTTATTTACTATGTTTTGTAAGGCAAAGTCCAAGCCTTCCAGTGTGTCTGCTGTAGCTTGAAGCCTAGGACTCCACAGTTGGATCCTTCATCTCTGTCTGTTCCCTGAAATGCTGCTGAACTCTTTAGATAATCTACAGTCCAAATATGTTTTAGGTGTCCCAAGGCAGCAGGGAGTTCACTGCTGACCATTTTCACAACTGGCTACATTTATAGGTACAGATATGTAAGATGTTGGTACTTGGGGCTTACTGGTTAAAAGCTATGAGCTTCAGGTTGTTCCTTTAGGGTATTCCATAGTCCCCAAGCCTATTCAGGGAGAAGAGGGATTTGGCTTTGGACCTTGGGCATGCTTTCACTACTATCACAGAAGAAGCAAAAGGAGACAAACCACCCATGTGTGCATCTATTTTAAGAGATGGGGCTGTGGTTTTAGCACTTGCTGCTGGCTAAGTAAGTCTTTTGCAAATCCTCTTTTCAGGCTCCCACGCTGAAAATATTTGAAGAATATAAGAGCACTACCAACAGGGGAGTTGATTCTCCTGATAGCTACGTTCTCTAAAATTTAGGTTTACCATCTCATGGATCCAGTCCATCTTTGTGTTTTGCATATGGGAGAACAGCTAGAAGAGCTAAGTGAGTTGCCAGAGATATCATGGACTATCTCTGTTCAGTGACATGAATCAACTCTATCCCAAATGAGAAGCAAGTTGTGACAACAGAGCATGATGGACAAAACACCTGTCAGTAGTCCAAGCAGATACAGTCTTTGAAAGCTGCCAAAAGTAAACCATGTCAGACTGCTACAGGCAAAGGTGCGTAACTATCGTCACTCACTCAGGACGCTGCACTGACGTGGATCAGTGTTGTGATGGAAATAGGACAAGTCATTTTTTAGATAATGAGGTCTTGAGACTTTGGAGGGAGTAGCTAAAGATCATCATTCTACTTCCAGAAAATAGATTTATGTCATTAGTACAGGGGTTTCTTTACTTTTATATTCATAAATATGAACTAGAGGTGAAAAGGAATATAAGTTTATTGTCAGTTTTGTTTGTTTGTTTTATTTTTCCTTTCTCACATGATAGTGTTCAGTCAGCCTAAGGGTTAATAAATTATTTTTTCTGGATTAAAAATAAACTTCTTCCTTTTAGGTTAGTGAAAACAGACAGGAAGACAGGTACACAACTTGTGTATATAGGAGTTACATTTTTGAAGGACTTGCAAAGTCAGCCACAATCTTCATCGTTGATATACTGATTCCAGTGTTGTCTTGGGACAAATAGTAAATAGTAAAGTCCACAGGAAAAAAAACCCAACATTGTTTAACATTCTTTCATTTAATTCATCTCTTGCATTGTAACAAGAGGCTTTAAATACAAGCAGCTTTTCAAACCCCATGCGTTTCCAAACCAGCCTCAGTAAGACTGACACTACCACATCAATTACTAGCACAGGCCAGCTATAAAATTACAAAACCACTCAGCCATCTGTATAATTAAATGCAAACCAAAGTAATCAAGCAAATGCTAAAGAAAATGTCTTCATCTGGTAAGCTTTGTAGGTAAAGGCCTATATCTACTGTTCTGCTTGGAAAGGCATGTACCTTTGTCTCTGAAGGTGTGCCAGGTAGCTGCTTCCCATTTTTTCAAACAGCATATATAGCTGATAAATATTAATAAATACCAACTAATAACAGAATTATTAGTTGGTATACTGTCAGTTGCTGTGTTAAAGTCAGTATCTTAAGCACAAATACCAAGGAATCAAGAAAAGGAGGTGTGAATCAAAAGTGGCTGTGTAATGTCTGGGTGTGTCTGATAACACAGGACTTGGTCTCTGCCTGGCTCTTAATTGCTTACATAACTCCCCAGCTAAATAACATTGCTTTTGTTAATAAGGTAGTTTCATAGTTTCTTGGATGCATTGGGAAGACAGAAGTGAAGCTGTGAATCTAGGTTAATTGAAATGCTTACGTGATGGTGATGTCCAGATTCTCTGCTGTAAGTCTCAGGAGGAAACTTGCAGTAAGTGTAGCTTGGAGAGTAAGGACAAAGTGACCTCGAGTTTTCCTTTGCTGCTTTGTGCATATAGGTGAAGCTTAGGACTCTGTGGCCCATAGGTGTAAATCAAAGTTTGAGAGACTGCTGTGATTTATGAAATCCTTGCTGTTATGCTGTCAGTAGGCTGTTTATACCTCACAGTACCTTGGAGCAGAGGAGGGTTTTTGCTGCTCTTCTTTCTGCAGCACTTCCTTTACATGACACATTGTAAAGGTTGAAATATTGGAAATACGCAGGAGTACAACACTGCTGGTCCTTTGGAAGTGCTGGCCAGAGCTTCTCAAAGCTGTCTCTGCCTCCTTTTAATTTGACAAGGTGACTAGAGATTGATTCAGACCTGTCACTTGTATGCCTGTAACAATCTCTTCCAGTGAACACGTACCTGTAAGAACAAAAGCTTTTCTGATAGTTTATTCTGTATTTAAGATCAAACATTTAAACATTAGATACTGAATGGGAATTATGAGAAATGTGGCCCAAGTCCCATGTTTTCTTAGATGAGGCATAATCTGAACCAGCATTTTCAGCCTGATCTGATCCAGAATTCTTTAGCAGAATGAGAACCCATGAATGCATTGTCCTTTCTCCATCCTGCGGCAATTCATGTTACACAGTACACCTTCAAATAAAGTTCCTAGACACTGTCTTGCAGGCTGGTGTGTGTGGTTTTACAGAAAATTGCATTAAGAAGAAATGGGATGCCAGCAAGAAAAGGCTTTGTAGCCTTTCAATGAGAACACTCAGCAGGATGGAGGCAGAGAGGTAGGTGGCAAACTTAGCGACCTTCACAGTTACACAGCTATTGAGTTTTTTTGAATTGTCATCTTGGATTTTGGTGTAAGAACCACTGGAGGCATCTAATCAATCTTTCTTTTGATCTGGCCTTTTGCCATAAGTATGCAGGAACTGGCTTGGAAAATGACAGTAAAACCCCAGGCACTGAATGCTCCCTGCAATTAGGGGGAAATGCCAGTAGACGATGACTTGGATAGAGCAAGCTAAAAAAAGATGATTAGTGTAGAGGTTCTGTGTGCATCTCTGAATACCCACATTATGTGTCTCTGCATTAGCACTGTCATTCCTGTGATCTGCTTTTCATCAAGACTTAGCTACTGTTAATTGTGGGGAAACCAAGCCAGTCCAGCTGATACCAGGGTGTAAACAACTACAGCGGCTGTGCCTGCTCTCAGGGAACCTGCAGGGGCTGTCAGAGACTGGTAAGAACAGTTTTGAGTGCACGAGTGGAAACACAGCTTTGCATATGAGTTGAGGGAGGGAGGGAGGGAGGAAGGAAGTGGCGGAAGGAAGGAAGTGGCGGAAGGAAGGAAGGACGTGGCAGAAGGAAGGAAGTGGCGGAAGGAAGGAAGTGGCGGAAGGAAGGAAGTGGCGGAAGGAAGTGGCGGAAGGAAGTGGCGGAAGGAAGGAAGTGGCGGAAGGAAGTGGCGGAAGGAAGTGGCGGAAGGAAGTGGCGGAAGGAAGGAAGGAAGGAAGGAAGGAAGGAAGGAAGGAAGGAAGGTAGGTTACTGCTTGGAAAAAATATGACTTTTCTATCTGTCCTTTTGTCCAACATGGACAGTATATTTAACTACTGTTATTTCTAGACTTAGCTGTCAAATAATAAAATGGAATTACTGTATGAAGAGGCTGACATAGAGACGATCTCAGTTTTGCCCCAGTCTTTGGTGATGGGGGACAATATTAAAATGAAACACTACACATGGATAAGAAAAACATATGTTGTAATACTTTAATTTTCCATGTTTATGGATAATAAAAATTAAGGTATTACAGGAGGTAATTACAACCAAATTGGAAGAAAACTTGGAAGATTTTGATGTGAGAAATTATTAGTGGGAATTATTAGGAGACGTTTTTTATAAGAGAATAAAACATTCTGAAAAATATCATGCTATTCCCAAAGTAAAAAGAACTCACTTCATGTAGGATAGCAATGTCTCATGAGGTGAAATAGAGAGGTAAGTATTAGTTGAATCCTTGAGGATTTGTTTTGGTAGGAACTACAAGGAGCAGTCCTGGTCCCTCTTGTTTAAACTTTTTGACATTGGAACCTTTTGGTTTACCAGCATGAAATCCAGGACTATGCTGTTGATGCTGTTTGCATCAGACATCAGTAGACAGTTGAGGGTTGGGATATTGCTCAGAATATCAGGATCAGCTCAATGATGAGAATGATAGAAACAGGACATTTTAAAATGGTAGAGTCTATAGAGGGAGTGCCCTTGGGGACTAGTAAGAAATTCTGATGTAATGTGGGAACGTACCACTTGGAAATAGCTGAGGAGAATTACTTCAGGCTTACATTACCTAATGAAAACATGGAATTAAAAAGTATAAATGGTATTGTAAAATTTAACAAAGATACTCAAGTGAGATAGGATAGGGCAAGATCCAGTTAGAACACTGGGACATAAATAGGTCCATTCCTCTGATTGGAGAAGAGGAACTGAAAATGGGAATTTGGCAGTGATAAAGGAACAAAGCAGCCTGTTTTATGGAGGTAGCTTGAATAACTCAGTTTTCTAGATCCAGCAGAGAAGTGAATGAGAATATGGTGGCGTCTAAAGATACACCAAAGACAGCAACCAAGGAGTTTAAGAGCTGTACGCTACAGAGGAGTGCTGGCAGAAGAGCATATGTGAGTAAACTGGTCACAGATGAATGCAGATGGGAAATAAGACTGCTTCCAGCTATTCACAATGGGAGTTAGTACAACCTTCATCCAAGTAAAGGCAGCCAGAAAATACCTACCTGCAGTGTATCAGTGCACTTTGATAGGGCCATAAGATATGGTGTTTGGCACCACAGGGACTAGAGTCAGGAGTGTTGAGTTAGGAGCGCTCAATGACATTTTCAGCTCTTATGTGGCTGCAGAAAGAAGGGTTTGTAAGAAGCATAGGGTAGTCTGGATGAAGGTTATCAAACTACTTCATGATCAGTTAAAGACTTGGTGGAAGTTACATCTGTGCTCAAGAACTGCAGTGAATGTCATAAAAATCAGCACAGTGTGGACATAACTAAACTGGCTGCTTTTCTTTGCTGAAAGAAAATAACCTGAAGGTTATTTCTGTGTGTGAACCATTAAATGTTATGTTTTAATCCAATGTAGAATATTTGTTTTGGATGCTTGAAAGAATATCATAGCATGAATATACTTAGGATGAGGAAATCCTACTTTTGTCCAAGGGAACTTGAAGCAGAATTCTACTTCTTAGAAAGCTGTCCAAGGACTTGGTATCCATGAAGCAGGACAAAGGGGAAATTCTTCCTCTCAATGAAGTTGGTGACCTGCACAAAGGCACCAAGTTTGTTGGGTCAGCGAGGTGGAGCATGAGAATCACAACTTCCTACTCTGGGAACCAGCCTGCTCCTTTGGGAGGTGTGTCCCCATCCTTTGCAACTGGGACAAAATCAGAGTGGTCACAGGAAGGATGGAGCGTGGTCCACCTCAACAGAGCCTCTGTTAAGGGGTCTCTGCTACCTAAGTAAATGCTCTGATCATTGAGCTGTTGGGTAACTGGGGACTTTCCTCCAACACAGTTTATCCCCTTCTTTGTTTTTTTTTTTCCAGCCAAAACTATTCAGCAAATTTGAAGCAAATAGTTTAGACATGACTGAAACCACATTTTCCAGGGAATTAACTAGTAAATAAATAAATAAATCACCCAACTCTAACTATTACCTCTTTTAAAATCCATGATGCTTCTTTTCCACATAAATTGAAACTTTTTAAAAATTAGTTTATGTAATTAAATGTAACAGTTTGACCCATCTATCCAGCCGGGGTAGTAAATTTGGGCTCCTTATTTATGCTGTTCTGGAGTGCACAAGCTGTTTTATAACACAACTAATGCTTATTTCTTCGGTTTACTCATATTTTCCTTTTTTTTGCAGTCGCTTTCATCCTATCAGTTCCAACACCTGATCACTGTAGGAGAGAGAACTTTTCTCTATTACATTTTCATGCTTTTCTAGTCAACTAATTTAAACTAATAGAAAAATAAAACACTTTTTGCAGTGACTCTCATGCTAACTTGATGATAGTTTAAATAGATTATGCCATTCCACTAGATACAAGCTAAACTATTGGAAACAAATCAAATAAAAGGATATAACTAGATGCAGTTTTTAATAGTGTTAAAACTATTCAACCAGAACAAGAGGGGTTGGAATTAGATTATCATCAAGGTCCTTTGTAACCTAAACCATTCTGTGAATCCATGACTCTATGATTTCTGGTCTGCTCTCTTGGACCCTGTAGAACTCCAAGCATCGCATCTCATCTTTCCAACGGGTAGTGTCCAAATACTCTCTCTGGGCCGCGGCGAGCAGCCCTCTGATGCATCCCTTGCAGCATTTCTTAGGACTGCTGGTTGCCGTGTGCGATTGCAGCTGGCCAGGAATGCGAAGTGGTGGTTTGCTTCAGAAGCCGTGGAAGGATGGTTGTAGACATCCCTCTAGTGGCCCCGCGGTGTCCGGGACGGCGGGAGCAGCTCTGGCATCCCCGGGCTCAGCAGGGCCAGATGTGCTCCTCTGTGCAGCTGGGTCCTCTGCGGGGTGAGGAACTGGCACATAATGTCTCCCTTTTTCCGTTTCACTAAAGTTTCCCTGGAAACTCCGCACCAGTTCGGGGTGTTTAGAGTGTTTGTTTCACACAAGCCTTGATACTTGAAGGCTGAACCCATTTCACTGGCCACTGTAAAAAACAGATGTAATGGGAGGTGGTATGAGGAAAGGGTTAATCCTGTCTCTAAGTTTTTTTAAATGGCAGTTTATTTAACCCAGAGTGAGGAAAAACTTTGTCATCATTGAAAAAAGAGACAAGTTATACTTGAAAATTAATTAAATGTTTCAGATCTTCTTGTCTCTTTAATACAAGACTGATAGAATACCAAAGGGAGGGGACCCTCAAAAACCCCAAAGTATATGTAAAATAAATATAAGGAACACTTATTTGTACATCTGTACAGTCTGGCTTCTCAACTGAAATTGTCAGTAAGATGCTAATTATGTTTATATGTTTGAAACATTGAATTTATTTTGCTTATTAATTTGTTAAAGGACGTGCAGCAGAAATGAGGGCCCTGGGATAGCATCTTTAAAGATAGTGAAGAGGTCTTCAGTCTTCACTGAAAGGGCGCTGTCCCAGGGCACCCACTGTGGTTCCTTCATGGAGCACAGCAAGTCTGGGGATTGCCCTTGCTGGTGCTGGACAAGCATCCCATGACGGGTCTAGGGAAGCTGGCACTCTCTGAGGAGTCACTGCAGAGCAGAACTGAGCAGAGTTTGCAAAGGAGATCAAGACACTCCTCCCTTTTTGCAAATGGGCACAGCACAGAGGAATGATTTGTTCCAGAGGCAGCAAGCTGCCTGACAGCAGCAGGATGTGGTGTTGAAAGGAGATAATGGGTTTATACGTAAGTAAAACTGTCCTTAAAGGACAGCCCACCCTGAGATTTTCTCTGTATGGAAACAAAAACTACAGATCTCATCCTTCTGATAATGGTAGTTCTGTATCTCAGTAATTCACCTGTACTACCAGTATTACCATTGTGAATCCATTATTACTTTTAAATAAGAATTACCTATACAAAAATACCATAGTGCAACAATTAAGTAAGTTGTACTTAGAGCTGAACTCAGGCCCATTTCAAAGCCATTATTTGCTGTTAATAAAGCCATGGCTGAATGAGTATTTCTGGTTGAACCTCGATTTTGTTAAACTGATTGAAAGCAATCAACTGAACACACACCACCATCCTGATCAGGTTTTGATTTCAAAGGTGGTAAAAACCTTTTTAAGTTGCATTAGGGAAATTTTTTTCTCCCCTTTAGCTCTGTATAATTTTCCTTCCAAATTATAAACCCTGCTTTGCTGACTTTCCTCCTTACACCCCAAAAATAGCTCAATGTGTCAATTTAAGAGATGGACAATTGGCATAAAGTCAGCAGAGAGAACATAAATGCCTGAGACGTTTTTAGGTGACATCTATGTAAACAATTGCTGTTGTCTTGTTTTCATTTCCAGGCAACTGATCCTCAGAGACACATACATAGAATACAGACAACAATATCTGGACAACTTTCCAATCCCTTCTTTCTGAGCAATTTATACTTTCTCCATGTATAAAGGAACAGTATTTTACAGATTGGGAATAAAATATATCTTGATTGGAAGATACTTGTTTTAAAGAGTCTGATCATCATCTAATGTCACAAATTTAAAGTCTTTTTGAAAGAAGTAAAATCCCTGAGCTTCAACCTGCAGTAAATTTTTAATACAGTCTAGAGTATTTCAGACCAGGAGAAACACATGATTAATCAAGAAATACACATTAATCCAAATTTGCCTCTTCTGCTGCTCAGTGGCCCAGGCTTGTCAATGTTTTTTGAGTCAAAACTACTAATCTCTGCATGGACTCTGACAGCCAATGTGCCAATTTTGGCAATTTGAAAGACTAGCATTTGTTTCTATCCCTTTATTCAGTTCTTTAAGATAAATCTGCAATTAAGTCTTTTTTATTGCAAAAGAAAGGCAGTGCTAATGCTTTCACAGTATTTTGCTTTTACTTTGCTTTATTTTAACCTCTAATCATAGGAAGAATTAATCCTACATCTCTATATTTCCCCCATTATTATTCTCGCAGGACAGGATAATATATTGCATTATTTCAAATGTGTTTGTTTTCTCTTCAGCTGAATAAATACAGAAATCACCTCCAATAGCTTCTTTCCAGCCTGAAGACAATGGCTCAGCAGGCACTTAAGGCTGAAGTTGTTTCTAAAACCAGGGAGATTTTTCTCGTGAGAAATTGTTTCTTACACAAAGTATTACTGGCACTGATGGTGAGAATGTTGCTTGGTAAAAAGGTTCTCTGATGATATGTGGGGAGTAGCATTATCAAGTAAATCACAGTTCTAGCTCCTGACTGAATTCTGTGCAACCTGCTTTAGTGTATAGGATGGAGGCACTGTGTGGATATTGTCCTGTTTTTGTACGTGTTTTAGGGATTGTGAAAAGATCACAACTAACTACAGGGAAGCTTGATTTGATCCTTGAATGCCCAGCTAGCAGCAGAGTGTCTGGTATTGGCCACAGTGCACTGCGGTCCAGGAGAGCTCCAAGGGTCTCACTATGGGCTGGTGTTTATAAGGTCACAAGAGAGCTGGCTTTAGTCACAGTAATTTTCCATCCTGGCCACAATTCAGGCTGGTAACTTTATTTGAAAATTTGATAAAATTTGAAATTTTATCAGTTGAATAAAATTTTATTTATTGAATAAATTTTATTTATTCAATAAATAAAATTTTATTTATTGAATAAAATTTGATAAAATTTTATTCCACTTAGGTTGTTGTTCAGGCAACAAAAATAAGTTTCCAAGGCTGTTCATTAAAACAGGAGCTTGTTAGACAACAAAAGTTCCTGGGAGAAGAGTGTTTCTGGTAAGCTCAAGAGAAGCTCAACCAGCTGCTGTTTGTCAAGGCTGAGGCCTAATGAGCATTTTTGGGATCACAGTGTGGCTGGGGTGGGGGGAATGCACCCCCACAGTGGGCTAAGTCAATAAAAGAGTTGCAATGTGCTGAGCTTGGATCTTTGAATTTGCTGTTACAGCTTCTAGGATTGTCTTCTATAACCCCATCCCTTAATCTAGAGTCAATTGGAAACACCACTTCATTCATGGATCACAAGGTGAGGAGCTCCCATCAGCCCACGTCCACATGGTGGGTGTCTGGAGAGCGCAGCTCCAGACCCTCAGATCACCCACGGTCTGCCTGCAGGGGTGGCAGGGAAGAACCAGGGTGCCATACATGGACAGAACCAGGCTGCCCTTTCTCTGCAAACATTACATTTTCTTCAAAACACAGGTCGTGCTTTTCGACTAACAAGTATCTGAGTCCTTCAGTAAACATCTACAAACAGTGAGAAGCCTCGTCTAGGTTTATATAACCTACACAACCAAGGGTAGTTTATACGATTTTAGCCTCAATGCACTTCTCACAAGTTACTCCAGGCAGATCAGAAGTGGAACCAAAACCAGCAGATTTGTGTTCCTGATAAACCCTTCAGCAGTTACTGAGGTCCCAGCAGGGTGCAGGGGCCAGCCCATGCCAGGATCATGGAACACAAGGGTTTAGAGCTTGCAGCCAGCCCCAGCACACTGGGAGCAGCTCATGGCCTGGCCAGCAGATGAACCTTGCCACTGACAAGGACTTCTGAAATCAGTGTTTAATTATGCTTATAAAATGAGGCTGTTCACACACACCAAAAAGATTATTCAAAATGAAGGAAATTGCTGACTTTCAAATGCTTTCCAACAGACAACAATTTGCAGGAATCTTCTCTCTCCTTAAAAAACCACATTATTTAAAACTGTAGTTCACATCTGAAAACTGACAAGTGAATTCCCACACCAAGTAAGGGCTAAACTGGCAACCTGCAGTGCTTTTGACAGTAAGAATCAGCAAAACCAGGAATTTAATAATTATGGGTCCTGGTTGTTGCTATTGCTGATTGATGCATTAACATTCTTAACCATTCTTATTGAAGGGAAGGCAGAAAGAGAAATAGAAACTCAGAGTCCTCAAATAGCCAAGAGAGCTTCTTACACATACAAATGTACTGAAAATGAACAGATGTAGACTCAGCAAAAATAATAATCTCTCAGAAAAAAAATCAAACATTACTACACAAATTCAGAGTAAGGTCCTGTCACATTTATGAGTGAGCTTGTAACTTGTGTCTAAGTTCAGCATCACTCAGGAATTTTTCAAGTCCAAGTTGAATCTTTTCAGCTAATTAGTGCATTGAGCTTATACAGTACATTGTTTTCCAGTATCACCAATGGGTAATACTGTACATAACCAATTAGCAAAAGCAGTGGTTTAATCTTCAAAAGTCCATTCGTTCTGCTGAAGGTGCACTATTACAACAACAGATGTATTAAACAAAATAGTAGCAGTATAATTGTCATATTACAGCTTCTTCCATTTCACTGTGACAACTGTGTGGCTAAAAGCATTAATTATACTGCTAGAAAACCTGTACGAATGAGTGAGGAAAACAATCGCTAGAGATTTGTTCAAAATTAAAAATCCTAATGTTTCATTTAAATTGATTGTTTCACTGTTGAAGACAAACTTCATTAAGATTTTAAAGATGGTTATATTGTAAAAATGTACTTCCTTACTTTTTATATAAGGTAGGTAATGGCTAAGAGTTGGTTTAGATTAAATATTAGGAAGAAATTCTTTATTATGAGGGTGGAGAAACACCAGAACAGGTTGCCAGGAGAAGCTGTGGATGCCCTATCATCTCTGGAAGTGTTCAAGGCCAGGTTGGATGGGGCTTTAAACAACCAGGATGAGAGGAAATGGCCTCAAGCTGTACCAGGGAGAGTCAGGTTGGACGTCAGGAAGAATTTCTTCACTGAAAGAACTATGAAGCACTGGGAGGTGGTGGAGCCACCATCCCTAAGGGAGTTCAAGGAACGACTGGATCTGAATCTCAGTGCTATGGACTACTTGACGTTGTGGTGTTTGGTCAAAGGTTGGAGTTGATGGTCTTGGAGGTCTTTCCAACTTAAATAATTCTGTGATGTATGGGAAGCTGTCCCTGCCCAAAGCAAGGGCGTTGGAATTATGTGACCTTCAAGGTCCCTTCCAACTCTTAACCATTCTAGGATTTTATGATCA